TTAATGCGCTTCCTCGTAATTAGCACGATCTCTGTCTTCTGGGCTGCTGGAGATAGCCCGTGGTCTTCCATCCAGGAGGTAACTCTCCGCATGACCTGTTTGAGCAGAAACAGTACCCTCTTCGTGTCTCTTGCGGTTATGACATCTGCATATCCTACTAAGATAGTACCTTCTGGGACTGCCATACGAAAGATACCGTCGTAGAATATATTCCATATGTCCGGTCCTAGTATAGAGCCCTGGGCTGCCCCCGATATCGATTCCAAGCTTCTTGGACTATCACTCGTGTCGTATACTAGGAAGCGCTCGTTTAGATAATCGTTAATTATTCGGTGTAGGTACTTCGGAACGTTGAAATTACGTTCGAGCGCTTTCCTTGCAGATCCCACCTGACGGGATTGAAGGCATTTCTCACGTCTAAGGTGGCCAGCAGGCGTAGAGGTCGAGTTCGATGATTGCTTCGCTCCATCATTTTCACGGCCGTGACTACCACCAGGACTGCGTGGATGGTGAAGAGGTCGGAGCGGAATCCGTACTGGCGGCCGGCGAGATCCCCCGCTGCCTTCACGGCTGCACGGAGCCTTGGATTTATCAGCTTCTCCAGGAGTTTTCCAACCATATCGAGCATACAAATAGACCTGTATGATGAAGCTGCCCCTACTGGACCCTTGCCCTTGCTAATGAGCACAAGCCTCTCTTTCTTCCATGGAGCGGGAAAGATGCCCCCCCTGAAGCACTTGTTATACATGTTCAGCAATAGTTCAGGGTGACTTTGCGCGACGTCTTTAATTAATTCTGCTGAAAGTCCGTCTGGACCTGGAGCTTTCTTGTTCCGCATAGATGATGCGGCCCTGAGTAGCTCTTTTTCCGTGAATTGCGGTACCCCGCTTATTCCGGGCGCATCCAAGCTGATCTCTCTTTTCGGCTGTGGGGGGAATAGAGTTTGCACGATGTGATCCAACGTTCTCGCGTCCTGACGGGTCCCTTGCGTGTCAGGCCCCAGATTGCGAGTGACGATTAGATACCCTAATCCTCACGGATTCTGGTCGACATCCAGGCACAGCTCCTTCCAGCACCGTCGTTGACTGGCCTTGATGGTCCTCTTCAAGGCTTTGGCCGCTTGATAGTCTGCGGCCAAAGGAGCTGCGTCGTGGTCGCGTCTCTTCACTCGTTGTGCTAAACGGCATAGTCTTAAGCATTTCTTACGAAGATCTGCGATCTCGTTCGTCCACCAATATACAGGGCGTCTCTGCCGTTTCGTGCCATACTTTGGCACCGCTATCGCACAAGTCTTTTGGATGAGCTGCATGGTTGCTGCGCTAATCAACCTGACTTGTGCAGGTGTCGATAGACTCGCGGAAGTACTTTGTTGGAATCTCCATCCTACCTCTATGACCGAAGACAGCCTCTCTCGATCCATTCTTGCAATGTTCCACCGGGGGGGTCGCTTTATACTTGTCACGGCTGGCCTCCTATCATGTACATCGAATAGGATGTACTGATGATCGCTCCCGGTATAATCCTCGATCACCTGCCAGCCTGCGACTATTGCCACGTCGCAGGGGCTCCTCCTCCAGGGCTCGTCTCCAGGGGCTCGTTGGCTCCTGTCGAGTGCGCTACAGTGGTGTGAATGTGGATGTATGGATGAATGAGAGCAAGGCGAATACCGGCCTGGCTCACCGAGGAGGGGTGGTGGGTGAATTTGTAATACGCATATGCGTAATCCCGCCCACCACCTTGTTTCCTCAGCGCGTTAGTTATAAGAATCGGGAGGTTTTTTAGTCGGTAGGCGACCCGTTCCTGGGAGCATTCCCAGGCGGGCTGAATCCGACACTCCTCTGAGTACCGGGCTCAGAGGGCCTATGAAGGTTTTTCCTCCTGACGAAACAAAAAAAAAAAAAAAAAAAGGTGTTAATTGGCTAGAGAGACATCCGGGATCGTCTCTCTGTAGCCAGACATGCGGAAAGTTGACGTCGAACCTGTGTTGAGTACTGATAGGTCCAGTCTCGACGCCACCTCTATGATACGTCTTCCTCTGGAGTCCGGCCTCGCCTCCCCCATTCGAGAGCTTTGGCATTGAGGTCTCCAGCCACAATGAGATCTCCTTGCATTTCCCGCAGCGCGTATTCCAGATCGTCCAGATTGGTTTGAAAGTCGTCTATCCGGTCGTTCGGAGTGAGATATACACTGACATAAGTCGTCGAGTTATGTCTCACCCAAACGTAACCGCGTCCGGATCCTTGGTCCGACACATGTATTAGACGGAGATCTAGGATCCAGATGGCCGCGGTGCTCAATTCGTCTGCGAAGCATCCTACTCCTGCTCTGTTCTGGTACTGTTCGCTGATTAGAACAATATCAGCTTTTTTCTCAAAGCAAAGCTGGGCTAGAAGGTGATACGCCGTCCTACTCCTATTCAGGTTACCCTGAAGTACTCTCATCTTTTTTTTTTCTACTTCTTTGCTGTTGCAAGGGCCTCCTGGAAAGCTTTACAGGCCCT